TGCTTCAATTCTAATCAAACTTGGCACAAATGTTGACTGGACCATTGCCTTTGTAACGACATGCTCAGTCTTAAATTTCCTGTTACCATGGCAACGAGGGGACATCTCAAAATTGCCAAAAATCACTATTTTGCCTCGATTTTTTCAATCAAAATTTATTTCAAAGTGCTGCAACTTCACAAGGGATTGAGAAAGAGTCAAAGGCTTTTCAGCGTTGGTTACACGTTACCTTATGATCAACCTGGGGTCATTTTAAGCCTCTCACAGGTCCAAAATATTCTTGGCGATGAGGGGGACTCCGCCCCCCCATCAAACCCCCCAAACAGAAGGGGGCACATCCCCCTTCTGGCAACCCCCTGATGTATCTTTTGGATGGGGGCGGCGCCGAAAAAGTGCTCACTTTTTTTTATCAACATTTCTCAAACTAAAACATTTGTTTGGGGCCCAAATAGGACATTTTTTCACTATTTCAGGCCTGAAAAAAAGGGGGGGGGGGATCGAAAGTGCGTTGTTTCGCGTATATATGTGGTAAAGGGTTAACACAAGACTCCAAACATTATCTAAATGCAACAGTTAAACTCAGATGCAACTTCATAATCAGTCGGGCATACTTCTTGATCGGGGAAACAAGGGGATTCCCCTTCAAGGCTTCCAGATCAGACATTTAACGTCAAAAACATTCTTATTGGCCTTTTTATTACGTAATTCAGGAAAAATGACCAGTGCATAACAATTTTCAATACACTTTAAAATGAATATCACCCTTTCGAGCAGATAAGATACAGCTAAAATCCTACCAAGTCATATTCTTTTAGAATGCCTGCAATTAAAATAATCTGAAAGAGAATTTAAAGTTTTACGATTTAATCAAGAAGTAGCTGCTTCCCGTTTTGGAAACACTGCTTACCGATCTGGCACTTAGCAAAATATTCACCATAAAATGTTTTTCGTTTTGGGACGTGCGTTCTATTCTGAAAATTTTTCTTGGGACAATACCAATGGATTAAGAAAGTATTTTTATGAATTATCTGTGCAACAATCATCAGGGGCATGGTGTGAATGTTTTGGAGTCTGGTGTGTCTAGCAGTCTAGGTACGAATGATAGCATCATAGGTAGTGTCTTCTCAAATTTTGTAAAAATTTATATTCGATTATTCGAACAACAATTTCCTTATTTGTTCCGGTCCTAGTTATTTTATAATGCCTGACATCGAAGAATTGATTTGCTCATGTCGCTTGGTCTGTCCGTTAGTCTGTCTGTTTGTCATAGTCTGTCTGTTTGTCACAGTGACCTTGAATATGTCGGTTTGTCTGTCGTTAGACCACATGGTTTCCGCTGATTATCTTAAAAACTATTTATCAAAAAGTCCTCAGTTTTCACAATGTCATATTGATTGGCCATAATTAGTAGATGACCCCTATTTATCTTGTGTCCGCCGGTAGATCACATTGTCCCGCTGATTAGTTTAAAACTGTTAACCAAAAAGTCTTCATATTTCACATATTGTTTGGATCTTAACTATTAGATTATCCCTATTGATTTTGGGATTACTAGGTCAAAGGTCAAGGTCACAGGGCTTTAAGTCCCGCACAATATCTTGAAATGTGTTTATCACAAAGTCCTCCTTTTTCATATGTTGATTAGTCATATGTAGTAGATGACCCTCTATTGATTTTATGGTCACTAGTGTAAAGGTGAAGGCCTAAAATGTCAGAATGGTTTCCGTTTATTATCTTGAAAACTACTTATCACTTAGTCTTTATATTTCAAGAATTGATTGGTTATAATTAGTAGATGACTCCTATCGATTTAAAGGTCTTTAGGTTAAAGGTCAAGTTACAAGGACCTTAAATGTCAGAATGGTTTCCACTCATTATCTTCTAAACTACTTGTTTTCAACTTTTTGTGTTTCACATTTAATTGATTATTACTAGCAGATGACCGCTATTGATTTTGAGGTCACTAGGTCAAAGGTCCAGGTCACAACAACAATGCTAAAATGATCAAAGAAAAGGCTCATAGTTACATTTCTATGATAACATATATTTTATTCAAGCTACTACTAAAACTATAATGTACTTCCAGATTGGGAAGCAGTGTATCTTAAATGAAACTTTTAAAAATGAATATTTTGCTAGATGCCTGACCAGGAAGCAACGTTTCAAAAACGAGAAGTGGCTAGTTTTTGGTAAAATCTAAAAAATTTGCTTAAGTTCACTTTCAGATTATTTTAATTTTAGACAATAGAAAATGACTTGGTAGGATTTAAGATGTATCTTTTCTGCACTAAAGGGTGATATTCATATTGAAGTGGGTTGAAAACTGTTATGCAGTGGCCATTTTTCCTGAACTACGTAAAACAAACCAAAGAAACATCCCGATCGGGAAGGATTTTGACTTGAAGGGGAATCCCCTTGCTTCTCCACCAGGAAGTTTGCCCAACTGTTACTCCGTTTAAAAAAACCTGCAGTAAATATCTTCTTCAACATTGAAATTTAATTATTACGAGAGAAGGCAAAAACGACCTTAAGAGCATTTTAGACTTAAGCATCCCTACCACTATAATGCGAACACGGTGTAACATACTTGTTTAGTTATAAAGCAACAATTATAATGTTCATGAAAGATATTTAAGCTTTGGGGATTTTTGATAAATTCTTAAAGATTCAATTGCAGACCCTCAGTAGTTGGCTATTTATCTTGCACGCAAACACGGAACTTCTGTTGAAATACATGCCTGACTTTCTTAGATAGTGACACAGGCTCGTGTCGGATAACACCAATTACATACCTTCGTATAGTCAAGCCTAGTGCGATAAGACAGGCGACAGATGTTTGGTAAAATGAATTAGTACTTTGACGTCTTAATGACATAAAATGACGTAGACCGACAAGAGCGCCGGATATGGTTTTAGTCAATTTAAGTTACAGCCCTTTTACTTAAACTTGATGGTTGGCTGCATGAAATTCTTACCCAACAAAACGGTCAAGGGTAATTCTTTAAAAGAGTTTAATCAACAAGGGAGTGGTGTTACAATCACTATATTACACAAAATAAAGCAACGATATTAAAGGTGAGCGACTTAGAGCAATCACGACTCTTGTCTGAAAATAAAGGCAGATTACCCTGTAAGTGGGCTCTTATTTCATATTTTCATATCTTGTTACCAAAAGTGGCCAGTTCTTTATTACTGCTCATTCGTTACCGGTAATAAATTGGTTTATTGTAAAATAGTAAGTATAACTAAATGATTGCTTTGGAATGGTGATTTAGTGTCCACTTATGTAAATACTGCTAAGAAGTCACAGGAGTCGATTTTAATGACTAATTGTAAACCAATTTGCCCTTTGCGACGTTTTTGTACTTTTTAATTCCTATGACACGTAGTAGGAAAGAGGTAATAGGAATGACCTCCCCTGTCCGTCTGCCAGTCCATTACATATTCGTGTCCGCTCTATTACTTTGAAACACATGAAAAGTTTTAAAATTATTTGCACAACTGTTTCCGTTATAAAATGCTGTCCAATTGCTTAGATGTCAAATATAGAAACACCAGATTCTAAGTCAATTGCTTTTTTAAAGTTTATAAAAAAACAAGCACAAATGATCACCGTAGTACGAAAACGTGCAAAGCGCAAGACCAAACCGCTACCATCAATATCACAATTAAAGGACACATATAAAAATACCACACTTGTGTCCTCTCTGTAAGTTTTTAACAGCTTTGAAGTTTATAGAATATCAATGATCACTATTGTTAGACGATGTGGATAGTTTAAAAAAACTAGGTCGTTATTTGTATGACCAAGGTTACACATAAATGATCAAATGTTTATACGTCCGTATTTCATTTCCGCTTTATAAATTGTTGGGAAGATTTTAAAATGACATGACATAAATGATCACTATAGTGAAACAATGTGCAAAGCCGCAAAGATGTAATTTGCTACACCCAAGGTGTCAAAGTCATACATAAATGTTCTTATCTATAAATTCTTTACTTTTGTATAGTTGAAATATTTTTTTTCAATATCCGGTCATATATGAACACCACTATGCCATATAATGTAGAGCGCAACAACCAGGTCGCAAACACAAGGTCAAGGCCACAGTGACAGGCCAAACGTTTAAGAGCTCACTAGTAGCCAGCGCAAGATTTTTTTGAGGCCCTTGAATGGTAACCCCGTTTTTTTGAACACAGATAAATACATACATACAAACATACATACATACAAAGACATACATATATATAAACAAACAAAACAAACACACAAGGTACATTAAAAAAAAAGATTTAGCTTGCTACCCTCAGGATTAAGATCATACGAGATGGTTAAATGTAATGGACGATTTTTTGACTTTTTAAAAGATGTTGAATTAACTTCGTCAACCGCAATATCACGATGTGCTTAATTATGCATAGTGCAACAATCCGGCCTTTCCTCAAGCTCAAAGGGTGTTGAGGTCAACATTCATATTTACTGAGACAATCGATGTAGCTGTCCTTAAGTCTGCCTTGTTTTCGTGCATTTAAGATTTTACATTTGTAAAATCATTTCTAACTCATATCATTGATATCTCATTTATGCAAGATGAAAAGTCGGCCACTTGTGGAAAATTTAGTTAGAACATTTACAAGAATTTGACGAAGTACATTTAGGTAAGACCTGAACGACATTCAAGGTGACTTTACTACTTTGCTAATTCATCGTCATAAATCGGTTCACGTTGGTTTGTTATTTTCTTGATGAGCTCACTCTTACGGATGAAAATATAACAATAATTCAAGAAATTTATCATGTCCTCATTTAATAGCATCGAAAAATACATGAACTGAATATTATATAACAGACAGGAGTAAAGAGTATTAACTACAATTAGTAAAAAGTATCAACAGTGTACACTGGTTATGACAATTCAAAATAAACAGTCATTATATTTAAGGTAAATATAGTAAACGTTACGTCTATTAAATGGGCATGTGATACAAATGTTTATTTCCAGTAATGTATGAGCATTAGAGAATAACGTGACGGCTTTAAACCAATTTATCATATCAACAATATGATTATCACGCTGTCAATAAAATGCGTACCGGCTATTTCTATCAAATAATGTATGTTTATTTTATTGCATGTCTCCTTGCCTTTTAATATGGTTCACACAATCTGTCCAAAACGCCTCGTGCTCCTCTTCATCTGTCCCTCCTGGGAAATCTATGAATGTGGAACAGTAGATTTCTTTAGTTTTTACAGCATCCTCGCCTGTCATATTGTTTAGGAAGATGCCAAGTACCGATCTCTTTTTCCTCTCTATCATATCACATTGCCACATGTGTACAGCAATATTCATGCAATGATCCGTCGACCAGTCATCAGAAAAAACGAAAAGGACAACTTTGCTTCCATTAATTGCTTTACTAATGGTGTTAACTAAGTTATCATTGAAATTAATATGATACACTGCTATAAATGCCGTCAATTCATTTTGTTTGAAGACAGGTCGAAGTTTATCGATAACAAACTCTTTTTGATCATCAGAAGATGCAACAAACACATCATATTTGTACCTTGGCTCATCAATAAGCTCATAATCACCCCTTCCTTGAACAGTCTTCCTCTTAAGTACAACATAGTACCAATATTGTAGTTTCCAACGAAATTTATGGACGACCATTCCAAGTATTACATTTATAATTAATGCTAGTGTTACAGATAGTCCAACGATCAAACTAGTAAAGGATCGACATTGCATTTCAAGGTAGTGCACCATATTTTCTATTTCATGTTGCGATGTCAAATTTTCAAGTTTGTGATGACTTTCATAGTTGAGGCAAAACGACACATTGACGGACAAACTTGAGTTGTTTGAAACATAATACTTACTCAACCACTTGATAAATTTGATATTATCACATGAGCATTCTAAAGGATTAGCTCTTAGATCAACAAATAATTTCACATCTGATGAGCCATTAGTACTACCAATTTTTGAAATATACTCTAACTCTCCACAAATTTTGGCCGACAGCGTTCTTATTCTATTTGCTTTCAAGTCAAGTTTTCTTAATTTCCTCATATGTCTGATGTCAATATTGAACTCTCCCATCATGTTAACGTTTCCCTTCAAATCTATTAGCTCCGTTTGTGATTTCAAAAACAATGAAGGGATATTATAAATAAGGTTGAAAGAAAAATCTAAACTTTCCAATTTTGTTAAGTTCGCCATTATCTGTCCATGCCTGTCTTTGGCAAAAGATGAACCTAAAAAGTTATAACTGATATTCAACCGTCTTAGATTAGTTAATGTTTCAAAAAACGACATGGATACGTTTGTGCAGAAGTTGTTTGATAAGTCTAAGGTCTCGAGCTTTGTCAATCCGTGAACTGGACCGTCCCAACAATATAATAACGAGTTACTGGCATTGATATTCTGTAATTGGTTTGTTTCGTTGACGAAGAGTTCGAAAATAGGACTAGCGATTTTGCTATGACTTAAATCGAGGTATTCCAAGTTAGGTGGAATGTTAACTAAAACCGTGCCTGGTGGAATATAATTATCCTTGTTAAGCTGTGGACATACTTTCTTTTTGTTTTGCCGGTTTGTTAGGGAAGTTTCGTATTGCATGTTATTATTTTGGTTTAAATTCATTGAAAAGTGATGATTATTATGGTGTAAAATATTACTCTTGTTACTTATATAATCATCAACTGACTGAGAGTCATTTGAATTATCTGGTGGTTTATGATCTCCATTCTCACCAATAGATGTCGTCAAATACTGTTCTCCTTGTTCGTAAAACTTATATGAATATATATCTTGTAATGCTAATTTATTGTTAGCATTGTGCCATATTGATGTATGCTGTGTAAAAAATTGGTAAGACATGTCTAAGGAAGTTAAATTTGTCAAGTCAGAAACATAGAACATGTAAATACCTAGATGAAACTCATTTTTTCTAATGCTTACAGTTTGAAGCGTTTTAGGAAATATAGAAAACACATCTTTCTCTACATAGAAAATGACATTCTGATTAAGCTGTAACTCCCTAATAGATTTGTCTTTAATACACTTTGCCATATCCGTTGTTATAGCATTGCCGCACATGGTAGAAGATCTAGTTGTAACTTCATTTAAAATAAGACTCACAGTTTTCATAGGCAATGAGCAAAACGATTGAAATAATTGCTTAAATCCCAACCTCTTGTTGATGGACATGTCAAGGTATTCCAAGTTTTCCATGTTTCGGAAAACATTTTTGCCTATATTATTGACAAAGCATTTTCTGATGTACAAATGGGTTACATTCACCAGATTATCAAGTAGTCCATCTTCTAATTCCTCTATCATACAAAATTCTTTGCTTCTCCACGATGGTTCGATAGAATCACCAGCCACTCGCAATATTCTTAAATTTGTCATGTTCCGGAATGCCGGACCAAAAGGTAATTTTGTAAGTCCATCAATCCACAGCTCTTTTAAATTTACCATCTTACTCAGTTTGACATCGGGGTATCCATATTTAATATTGTACGTTCCAGTTGTTCCATACATCCGCAACTCTTCAAGAGATGGAAGGTGTTCGAATAATTCAGGTTGTTTAGACACATTTGTCAGTGGAAACTGATCGTTCTGAGAAATATTCAAGAACTTTAGGTGCACAAGACCTTTAAAGGCCTTGGAGGACACATTTTCTTTTTTCAATGCTGTGTTATGTAAGTCAAGCCTTATCAGCATCGTCAAATTTTCAAACACGCCTTCATCCAATCGTTGAAGAAAATTAGAAGCCATATTAAGTACCCGCGTTGTATAAGCTATATCACGTGGGATGTAGGTGAGGTTCCTATTAGAACAATCTACAATATATTTTCTAGAACAGTCACATATGTCACATGTGCCATTGTGTGTCAGTCTTTCTCCGCCAGATATATGCAAAAGCACAATCATAACAGTACATCTTAATACATACAGCACGAACTGAAACATACAATATGCAATGCAATAAACACTGATATGATATATATCATATACATGTATGTATAAACATAACAGTCCTAAAAGTTCAGATTTTGATACAAAAGCAGATGTTAAGTGCTGGCTGACAGCTGTAAAAAATGCCCCGTATTAATACACTCAATAAACCGAATATGTGGTTTTCAATTATTTATTTTTTAATTGTTTCTTTATTTCATTGCTTTCTTTCCAGACTTTTATGGTGATAAGGCCGGCACAAGTCGAATATTGATTCATCACAAGTGCAACAAATGATTAATATAATTAATGCTCGGCAAACAAAAGAATAAGAGTTGAATAACAAAGATTAGAAAAAATTAGACAGATAACGAAAACAAACACTTACCATGGTTACATTACATAGGGTATCCGTGTAGCTAGCCACCGAAATCTTTAAGACTTATTTTCCTACAGATTCTCATATCAAACACCCGCGTTTTAAAACGATTTTATGTAAATACATTTCTATATATTTTTGATGTTTTTGTTATTTAACAAAGGCTATTGATGTTAAACACGGAAGTTAAAGTTCGGAGGGTCAGACTAGTATAACGAGTAGCAATTATAAAACACGAAGCCGTAATAAATTTTGAATAGAACCAAAGGCTCGCTAAACCTCTTTCCAATCTCTGTTTAATTTATAATACAACGCAAAATCAAATGAAAATAACTATATTTTTTACATAATCTCAGCTTTTTGATTTTATTACAAAAACGTAATCGTCAATCATAGTATTTTATTAGTTAAACCAGGGAGAACCAATATTTTTTTAGCGGGGGGGGTATAGTAACATGGCCCCTCCCTGACAGGGGTCTGGTGGAAAAATCGAAGTAAATGGTGGCTTCTGGTGCATTATAGGTGCAGATTTAAAAATACACGTTTCTACATCCACTTTAATTTTCACCATAAGCAAGGATATTTACTTCTTAGCACTTAAAATGTAAAGCTTGAAAAGCTTAATATCTAATCTTTACATGTGTGCTTCAGTCATTATTATCTAAATAAGCTTTCAAATCGTTTGATCACATAAACCCGACCGAGCTTTGCTGCAAAAAATAAATATATTAATACTCACATACATATTTGTTTTTTGTGTTTGATTGTTTCCATTTTCTTTAAATCCTTTAGAAAGGTTTTGCTTCAGAAATGTATTCAGGATTATATCTTTTGGCAAATTAAAGAATCAATAAGTAACTTGGGAACTTGAATGATACTGTACATAGTATAAAGTACCAAAATGTTAGCCCTTACAAAGGTTTTATTGAGAACCGTATATGATGATGCCAGTATATGATTTAACACCTTTTGTAGAGCAAATCGCCTCAAGGCATGCAGTGTGAGTAGTTGACAGTAAGCTCAGAAAGGATCAAGGCTGTTATTTACAATGAATATTGCCCAACATTCATCATATTTTATTTAGCATCTATCTCCGTATATGCACCCTTATTTTGTAAGAAAAAAAACGCACAAAGCACGCCGGGTTTTGAATGTTTATTGCAATCATACCTGTTTTATTTTCAAATAGTTAGCCTATCACCGGGAAATCAAACACGGAAGATAAATATGAATATACATAATTTGGCATACTTAACTTTATGGGTAATCGCTATTGACCCACCATTAGCGGTAGGTACATTACGGGGACACCAGTGAGGAGAGGTTTCGGTAGAAACCGTAAGGCTACGGTAAAACCCGTAACACCGCCCTTATGGTGAGAAGGTGTAATGTAATTTTTTCATTCCTGTCACGATGAGAAACTTTAGACACATTCAGTCATAATTAAACTTAATTTTATATGACTTTTGTACATGTAAAATATTTTTTACATAATGAGGAGGAGATAAAACCGAACATAGACGTTTTCTTTCACTAATATTTCTAAGTGTTTATTGGGTATAATCATTTAAAGGATATGTACGTGCTTCATTCAAAAATATGGAGCAACAATTTTAAATGTTATCAGAGACGTCAAAATACATTAAATGTCTCTGATTTAGAAAGTGTTTGAGTTTTAGTCAATAGGACATATGAGCCGTGTCACGACAAAACCAACGTAATGTGTTTGCGACCAGCATATGGATCCGACCAGCCTGCGCATCCGCGCAGTCTGATCAGGATCAATGCTGTTCGCTTACAAACCCTATAACAAGTAGAGAAACTGATAGCCAACAGCATGGATCCTGATCATACTGCGCGGATGCGCAGGCTGGTCTGGATCCATGCTGGTCGCAAACCTATTTCGTTGGTTTTGTCATGGCGCGGCTGATATCACTTACACGTGGGAGGTTCAGTGACAGAAACGCTCAGTGATGAGGTTCTATATTTATTAAGCAATATGAAGGAAGAACCTATAATGATAAACGAAACAGTTATAATAAATATTTTACAGTAGACAATTCATGCAATTCACATATCAATTCACAAATACAATGAATACAATTGTTACATTAATATCAACATTTCATATTTACTCCTGAATAGACAGTACCTATAATCTCTTGTCCCTCCTTTTGGTACAGTTTGCGCAATTACTAACAAAAACATCCCTCTACTATAATGCCTTTCTCCAATCAGCCTTTTAAGAATGAAATGAGCTTTCTGGAGATCTTCAAAATGTCCGAACACTATCCTCTTTCAAAAACTTGTCTTTTGAATAAAATTCTGACAAAGTCCCTAAAATATTTCTATACAAGTATTCGAAAATGATAGATATACTCTCTGAATCATCAGCTTTACAAAAAAACCTTAAGAAATTCACCACTGTGTCAAAGTGAACTTCCGGGAAAAAACACCACTTTTTCTTTGAATGTCATTGAAACAACACTATTAGAAACAGCCTCTTTCAGACTCTCTTGATAACTTTCATATGTGAATTTGTATAAGCATATATTGACCCCTTTCTATGAATCAACCCTTAACAACTCATTTAGAACAATCTACTAATTGTAGCAGTAATTACTTACCTAATTTAATGAAGTAATTCATGTATCTGATATATAATATCATGAATGTTAAACAGCACGTACTATTTTTTTAGAAGCAATCATTTTGGTAAAATATCATAATTTTAGTATCAATCACTGTTCTCATTTCTTGAAGTACTTATTTACGATTGGTATAATGTCATAACTGCAGCAGCAATCACTTAGGAAGCGTTTCTTCCATAGTACATTTGATAAATAATGACACAATCCTCATTAATAAATTTGGTAAAATATCGTAATTGTAGTAGCAGTCACTAACTTGATTACGTGAAGCAATCTTTGAAAGTGCACTCCATAAAATACATGTAGTATCGTTGCAGCAGTAATCTTTAATATCATTACTAGGAATTTGCACATATCGTATTTTATTGTCATTTTCTATTACCCATGATTCAGAAACCATTTAAGGTTAGAAGTCATGAAGTCATCAGTTAAATTTCTGGTAATTTATACTGGAAAGCCAATGCAAAGACAACAAAAGCCAATGCAAAGACAACAAAGTAAATTAAGAAAATATCCAAATATATTGTCATATATTTCTTCAAAATAAATGGTCAACACTGGATGATAGGCAATCCTAAATATTGCCTGGTAAAATATGTCATGCACCTGTTTGCAAGAACATTTGTAAAAAAAAGGGATAATTATGGTAAAAAACAAAAACATAAGTTGCATCCTGAACCAGTTTTATTACACATAAATGCAAAATTGAAAAATTGACATTCTTTAACAAATATAGCAAGGACCAATCTCCAGTTTTCCTTTTATTAAAAGTACAAAAATACACGATAGTGATAACATTGTGTTCAACAGTTTTCAGAAACTAAATCATGTTGAATATAGACTGCAATCAAAAATAGAAGGTATGTAACGGTATACATTAAAAAGGAAAGAAATAGAAGTATATAAAAACTTTTAGGTAATTACATGAATGTATTTTATGGCAAGTTTTGCATGGTTTTCATTTTAAGTGCATTGGATGATTTAAGTAAGACGATAAGTCTTTTGGTAATAAGTGGAGCTACTGTAAGTACTTATCAAATGTGTATTGTCATTAAGTTGTATTATCCGCTCTCAAACAATATATTCATTTATAAAAAAGCAAGCACTCATTACATGATTAAAATAAAGTATTTAGTTTTGAACTTAATTATATGAATGTTTGTTAAATGAATTTAAATCTTATTATAATAACTATTCATATAGCCAATTATTATTATCTACCACTATAACATCATACTTTGTCCTTATATATCTTATAAACACTGGTGGCTAAATATTGCATCATTTTATGTCCTCATATATCTCATTATTATTACCTAACTACACAAGTGGGTGACAAACAAACATACCACCTAGTCCTTATCTCCCTAACTATTATTACCCAACTAAACTGGTGCCCATTTATGATATACTATCTAGTCTTGAAATAACCTACCTACACTGGTGGCCTACTATTAAATCCTATTAAGCCTTAATATATCTTATTATAAATACCTACCTACACTGGTGGGCCACTATTACAAACTATCTAGTCTTGAAATATCTTATTATTAATACCTACCTACACTGGTGGGCCACTATTACAAACAATCTAGTCTTGAAATATCTTATTATTAATACCTACCTACACTGGTGGGCCACTATTACAAACTATTTAGTCTTGAAATATCTAATTAATTATACCTACCTACATTGGTGAGCGACTATTATATCACATTATGTCCTTATATATCTTATTTACTACCTACAGTAGTGGCTAAATATTACATCTCATTGTAATTGGGGTTTCTGAAAATGTTTTTTAATTGACCATTTAGTTACCTATTCTTTGAATATGTTTGAATCTGTATGTGTTTATATTTATAACAGAAATACATTGAAGTAGAACAAAATCTTTTACACAATACACCAATTTATCATTAATGCAGTAATGGGTTAATCTGTTACTGCACTGAGGTGACAAAATGTTCAATTTGGTGTTGATCTAGTATGTTTACAATGTGTTTACAGATTGTTATATCATGCTAATATAAAATTTCTCAAATGGTAAAATTGAATATTACAGTAAGTTATCCAAATATATCCCCAAGTCTAACCTTGACCTTTGGACAATGACCTTGCACAAAACATACTACTACAGTATTTATATATTGAAGCTTACATTTGCCAGCTAACAGATGGGCAGACTGCTGCATGCACAAACACTGTTGTCAGAACACACACAAAAAAGAAATATAATAATTACGATTGTTACACATTATCTGCCTCCAGTATAAAAAAAAATGGTTTAACAGCTACAATTTTAACCTCTATCAATATATATAAAGAGCTAAAATTTTAATAAAAAAAAGGATTTGATTATTACTAGTATATTTCGTTCGACATTTCTTGTTTTATTTTATTATTTATTCTATTCTGATTTTTTTAAAATTAAAAGTGGCTTAAGTTTCAGAAAACAGAAATGTGACACATTCACGTATACAAACACATCTTGAGCTATAGCCAAACAAATATTTATATATATCAAAACCATTACCTCCATATATCAAC